CTCAATGAAAAATAGCCAGAAAATATGGTATTTCGTGGGTATCTGTACAAAATATACACAAAAAAATGCTAATATGGAGAACTTGATGCCAAAGAGGGTTGGTAAATGTGGAAAGAAGAGAATCCTAACACCATGCAGGAAATGAATACTTACCAAGATTGTTCTAGAAAATAGACGGGCCACCAACAACAAAATAACTAATAAGCTGGGCCAATCTGGAGTCAAAATGTTGAAGAGAACGGTCCAACATTGCCTACACAATCTTGGTTACATTTCACGACGTCCAGCTAAGAAGCCTAAACTGACACCAAAAATTGTACAAAAAATGCTTGAGTGGACAAAAAAGTATAGGAATTTAACATATGATTGGTAATTAATAAAATTAATTTAGATGAATTTAAAATATCCACTTTCTTACACCAAACTTTAAATATTCATTCAATATTCACTTAACAATCCTTGTATAATATTTGAAGGTATGCTTTAGCGGCGAGAGTACTTTTAAGTTTTAAAAAGAAAAAAGGGAAAAAATACTTATTGGACTGCATCATGAAAACTGTCAAACACCCCACCTCTGTGATGATCTGATCAATGAAATGTGTAAAAGAAATAGGAAGGTTCTATATTGCAGAATGAAAAATGTTACAGTTACAATATAAAAATGCTGGAACAAAGATTGTTATCACAATTGGCAGAATAGTTTGGTCCAGGTGAAAAAAAAGCCTTCATGCAGGACAGGGCATGACCATGTCGCACAGCTAAATCAGTTAAAAAATATCTATCAGAACAAAATATTCCATTACTTGATAGGCCAGGAAACTCTTCTGACCTAAATCCTATAGAAAATGTTTGGGCGCTCCTAAAGAAGCAAATATCTAAAAAAATTATTACAAATAAAGTGTATTTCATAGAAAGAATTATTCAACATTAGAACTATAATAAAGAATTGAAGGAAATGGCTCAAAAATGCATTAAAAGTATGCCAAAAAGGGTTCCTGCAATTATAGAAGCAAAGGAGGAATCACCAAATATTGATCTTGAATATATTTACAGTAATATTTGAATAATAAAATTTATTTAATTTGATAATAAAATTTATTTAATAATATTTTAATAATAAAATAATAAACAATATGTTAAATGTTTTTATTTGTCAAAAAAATACCCATTTCTTAAATTAAAGTTACTTTGAGTACATAAATCACAAAAAAATACTAAAATAATAGACTTTGAAACTTGATAATTTTGAAAAATTGTGGGTGGCCATAATAAATTGTCACACAACTGTATTTTATATAACTTATCATAATAATCAATAAATATTCAAAATGTTCATCTTTATTTGTTTGTTTTTATCAAGTACAACTTAATAAATAAAAGAAAAAAACTTTAAATTGCACTATTAATATTATATATATATATATATATATATATATATATATATATATATATATATATATATATATATATATATAATATATATATATATATATATATATATATATATATACATAGAAGCGCGTTAATAAACCAGACCAGAAAAAGTTTTGAAAACTAAATTTTTTTTTTTAATTGATAGACTGCCTGGCCAAACCAAACCCTCAGTCAATGTAGCAGCACTCTCTTGCGAGTCAGGCTATTTGTCAGTTGTTGTAGCAGCACTCCCTTGCGAGTCAGGCTATTTGTCAGTCGATGTAGCAGCATTCCTTTGCGAGTCAGGCTAATTGTCAGTCAATGTAGCAGCACTCCGTTGCGAGTCAGGCTATTTGTCAGTCGATGTAGCAGCACTCCGTTGCGAGTCAGGCTATAAGATAGTCGATGTAGCAACATTTACGCATGTTTTAAAAATGTTTTTTATTAAATCAATAACAAAAACACCACTAATTAAGTAAAACTTTCTATTCGTTATAATTGCAATTTTTTAAAAATTTTTTAAAAAACAATTAAATTTAATGTACTTCCACATAAATTAATTGCTTTGACATTTCGATGACAATCAAAAACAGCTTAAGAGATGAGGTAATTAAAATTGTAGTCGTAAGAGACTTTTTTTACATTAAAACTCTCTTTCGACTACACTATATGGGTATATATATATATATATATATATATATATATATATATATATATATATATATATATATATATATATATATATATATATATATATATATATATATAATATATTCATATAAGCACATGTATGTATATATACATACATATATATGTATGTTTATATACATACATGTATGTTTATATACACACATGTATGTATATATACATACATATATATGTATGTACATATATATGTATGTATATATAGAGTAAAAAAAAAGGTTAGGTATGCATTACAAATCAACCTTTGTACTTTAAGGTTGTTCTTTAGCTCAAGGAAATACAAAAGTAAGAGAAAACAGTTACAAAAAAAATTATAATCAGACATAAAAAAAAGATTCATTTTATGTCTGATTAGAATTCGTCAAACTTTTAAAAATATATGCTACACAGATTTTGTACACAAGTTTAAAACAAACTATAAAAAAGATTCGAAAGATTTTTTATTTAAAACTACCTTTAGCAAACCTTTGCATCACATGTATTTGTATTTGTCTTAATGGTTTTACCTCCAATTTTAGAAAGTTTGTTAACCTTAAGGTTTAAGAAAATAATTACACCACATTATTTTTATAGTACATTTATAAAAAGTTACAAGTAGATTAACTTAGGCTAAGTTATTAATAAATACTTAATCAAAAAACAATAAAAAAAACTGCAAAAAGTCATGATTTGAAACAACCTATCAGTTCTGACCTCACCCAAGAATCATTTAAACTGTTATCCATTAGAATTTCAGAACTATTTGTCATGATATTACTTTAATTACTGGAAAGAGTTTTTACTAGCATCTCTTTCTAACAATAAAGATATATCAGAAAGACAAAAGAACCAAATATTAATTAATTTCTAAAAGTGTTGAAACACAAGAACAAAAAATTTATAAAATAAAACAATATTCATAAATTAAATAAAATGTATTAATTTAGCAACAAAAGAAATGTGTAAATCACTGAAGCATAAAAAAAAATGTTCAGAATCTTTTCTTCCTAAATCAACTTGCAGACAGACAATTAATACCTTGAGCTACAGTATGTGGAGTATGCATAAAAAATGTTTTCTGTTTCTTTTTTTGCATTACAGGAGTAGGTATTTGCTTACTATTCTGTTGGTTATTATGTTTTCTCTTGCATAAGCATGGTAGTGGCTCCTATAACAATTAATATCAAAATATAACTAATAATACTTGAATTAAGTATCTTTTGAAATAGTTACTGTTTTCTGAACCTGATTCTATCTGAGTATCACTTATAGAGGCAAATTCAAATTTATTACATAACTCATGATCTAAGAATATTCATTCAATTTAAAAATGTTTTAAATACATTATATAATAAAGAATATATAATAAAGAATATATCTAAACATTGAAAACAACATATACAGAATGAAAGCATGTTAAAAAACAAGGAAAAAAAGTAATGACTTAAGGTTTATATTAAAAAAAAATTACATTATCTCCATGACATTAAATTTTGAGCAGCTTAAATCTGTATTAGTTAGATGCGGTTTATGCATTTCATTGAAACAATTTATTACATTTAAAGATGACGAGCAGCACAAAAAATTATCAATCGAATTTTCTCTCTTTATTTCTCTGTATTTTCTATCCAAACAGCTTGAATGAACATTTTGCATGCCCTACTATACTTTTTCAACTAAAAAAGTATAGTAGAAATTATAATAGAAAAAATACTTATATATTAAAAATTTGTTCATGTAAAATAGCTAACAGAAAAATATCATAAACTGTACGTTATGATACATTATCATATCTATTATGTATTATTTTATCATACAGTTGCTAAAATTTGCTAAATTTTTATGTTGATCTTTTTACCAATATTGTGGACTAAAGAAGCATTCACAAATTCTTTTTTATACAACTTTACAAGAAAAAATCTTTAAAAATTTAATAAAAATTTTTTAATATAAAAAATATTTAAACTCTTTAAATCACATGGATTGGTAAAAAAGTTTGATAAATCATTATTTTGTAAAACATCATCCATTATATATATTTATATTATGTATGTATATATACATATATAGTGTATGTATATATTATATATGCATATTATATATAATATATATATATATATATATATATATATATATATATATATATATATATATATATATATATATATATATATATATATATATATATATATATGTGTATATATATATATATATATATATATATATTATATAAATAAGAAAAACATATGTAATATATATTTTATATTTATATAATATATCAAGTAGTCTCTACTTGTAATCCACACTCATGAAATAATACGGTCATAAAGAAATATCCATTTAATATTTACCTAACTAACTGCATCACAAGTTAAGCCATGTATTATTGTTAAATTGTCAAATTCAAAACCTTATAAAAAGGCAACAGATGACCTAATTTATTAGTATGTGTGACTTTACTTGTTTTTATTGGGCTAATAAGTAACTTGTTATGTCTTTACTTGTTATTTGTTATGTTAATAAAAAAATTTTAAGTCACGCATGCGTATTTTAGTTATAGTATTGCAATTACGAACGATGGAACTCGTAATATAGACGTTGAATTAACGTGGAATCAACGTCGATTTTATTTGATAGTTTTAAACAAATTTTTCAACGTTGATACAACGTTGATTTTTGGTTATACGACGTCGCGACTAAAAATCAACTGTAAATCAACGTCGAAATAACGTCGTGTGCCCACTGGGTATATATATATATATATAAATATAATTATATATATATATATATATATATGTATATTTATATATATATATATATATATATATATATATATATATATATATATATATATATATATATATATATATATATATATATATATATATATATAATCTTATAAATGCGTCATAACGTAATTCTAAAATAAAAAAGTAATGAAATAACGATATCATAATTACAAAGAAAAAAAAAAAAAAAAAACACTACACAATTACCAAAAATCGATTTACCTATTTATAGTAATCTATTTTGAAATTGCAGTTAAAGATTTATCGAAAATGTAACTATAAAACCTGTTTCGAAGTACCAAAGCATTAATAATACTAAAAAAAAAAATCAAACTAAGATATAAATTGTTGTCTTGGCTTTTATAATTTAAACATATATACAACTATAAACAAATATGACTTTATGTAACACATATAAACACATTTTACAACTATTGAATGATAGATATATTTACCTAAAACTATGAAAAAAAAAGTAATGTTAAATAGAGTTATACATATAAAATGTGCTCACAACCTTCAACAGTAAATTTTCGAAATGAAAATCTAAAGACTATAAATTAAGAACATTAAAAAGTATAACAATATTTATGTTACATTTTTTACCTACTATACCTTGAATAAGATGTTTATCAATTTTGAAAAACAAACTGTTAAATGCTTTAGTTCTTGAAAATGCAGCATATAGTTGACAAAGAGAGAAACACTTTTTTTAAGATATTTCTTTTGTCTATATGTTAAATTTCGCGTTACGTAATATATCCCTAAATGAAATTACTTGAAACTAAAAAGATTTTATTTATTACAATATTTGAACAACCAAGGGACAATTTAAAGAATTATATCTTTAAATAGCAAATTATCAATCGCAGTATAAAAAAATACGCAAGAGCTCAGTAATTACAGAGTTTAATCAGAGCTCAGTAATTACAGAGTTTAATCAATTCTCTCTCTACAATTCTCAATACTTATTCTTATTTAAGTCTCATCTAAGAGAGAAAGGAAGTGTTTTAAAAACAGCATGTTAGAAAAAGTAAAAAAGTTATGTAATAAATAACAGTAACTGGTTTTATTATGCTACCAATAAACAAAATTATTTTTACCTTAACTAAAAGTTAATTTCCAGCATTTCTTAATTAAGTTCCAGCTTCTCTCTAACTGTTGAAAAAATAATTAATATTGTAAATTTCACAGCATATTGAATTTACAAAATTAAAACCATGTTTAAACAGTAAGCAAAATAATAAAGTGATGACAAAGACAACTGAAAAAAAAATGAACACAATTATGTTTAAGAATACATAAAAAAAAACAAAAAAAAAAACAAAAAATTAAAATCATTTAAAATTGAAACTGTTATTATTTGTTACTATAAATAGTAAAATTCATACTTTGCTTTATTTTAAAGTGTCTAATGTAAAGTCAAATAATAGACATCAACACCGCTTGACACTGAATTCTGGCAAGTAAGTTTTCGGTTCATCAAGCAAAAATTCTTATATTTCAACGACAATTTATTTTATCATGCCTAGATCTATTTCTTTCATATGACAAAAATTTCAAGTCACCTATAACCATTTACACTAATAACTTCTTCGAGCCTAATATTATACATCTGTTATCATTAAATATTTGTTACCAGTGATCAAACTACTTTTACAACTAAATAAATAAACGTTTTATATTTTTACAGCAGAAAAATATAAAACAAAATTTATTGACATTATTTTAATTTAGCAAAGAATTTAGAACACAATGCAAAGTTATTTCCCAGCAGGCACAATGACGTTGAAATAACGTTGAAACAACGTCGCAAGCCGACCATATACCACGTTGATACAACGTTGAAATTTGGTTGAACTGGAAATAAAATCCGACGTCGAAAACTACGACGTTGAAACAACGTCGATGATTACGTCGTTTCAACGTTGATCTAACGTCTTATCGACTATATATCAACCATATTTCAACTTTAAATAGGTGATATATTCGATTGATACGTAGTTGATAAGACGTTAGAACAACGTTGAAACAACGTAAATTCAACGTTGATTTTTGTTTTTTATTTGGGTTAAATCCAATTAACTAAAAAATTATCTCAACTTTAATTGCAATAAAATAATACAATAAAAAAGCAATAATTTGCGCAGAGGATATTATATTTCATCTAAATTAATCAGATACAACTAAATTGCTTCAACGGACTTTATATACAATGCAAATAAAGTAAAATGTTTGAAAAAAAAAGTTTTATTTATCAGTAATATATATATCAATTTATCAATAATAACTATTATCAATAGTTCCAGAACAACTAGGAAAAAGTATGAATGTTATACATCGGGTGAATTGCCTTTTACGCGCCGATCACCACCATTTGATCTGTCGAGTGCGTATTTTAATAAAGTCATTATTCCTTTTCTTATTTCGGTAACTGTAGCAGTCACTTTAATTGACAAAACGCTCTCTATAAAAAAAGATATTGCCTCAGTAATTTGCATCAAATACACCAAAAAGTTAAAAATAAAATAGCATTAAAAAAACGAACTGTGATTTTTAAAAAATATATAATTTTACACTTAACTTACAAGTAATAACCTAATGTTTGTTCCTTTAAACTTCTCTTTACCTTTACCGCCAGCCATATTAAATTTTGATTATAAACCGTTGGTCAACAACCTGCATTATACATTGTTATTATTATTACAGTTACATTAAAAATTGCTAAAACTAAGTAAAAATAATATCAAACTTTTTATATTTACCAGTGTCATTTTCTTTAATATGACTGTAGAATAAACAACCAAGTTCACACAAATTATAATTCTAAAATAGAATTTAATGAGGAAAAAATTCCTTTAATTTTTATGTACTTTTGAAAAATATTTTATAAAAAAAATAATATTTTTATAAAAGTTCTGAAGACTCCTACAAAAATTGCTATAAAAGTTTTTTTTTCAAATATCATAAAGACTTTATAAAGAATTTTTTACACAAAGTAGAGAAATTAATCAATAAAAAGTTCTGAAAAAAGCTAATAAAAAAACTTTATTTTTAAACAAAAAGTTCAACATACTTTCCAAGTTATGAGACACTTTGTCAGGTTAAAAGTTTGATTAAGGTTGCATGCTGTCATACACTAAATATAAAAAAAACGAAACACCTGTTAAACTAAAAATTAATTTTTATTATTAGAAACAAGCCTTAGAAGAAATAATGTATATTTAAATTCTGTAGAATGGTAAAATCGTCATCGTCTCATATAAATTTATTACAAATGTCTCCTGATTTCTTATAATACTTAATTTTGTAAACTATACCAACAACTTCTATAACTTCTGCTAAATAAAGCCTCTAGGCTTTATCTAGGCTCTATCTAGCTTTATCTATTTCGGCCAACTTAATGATTAAAAAACTCAGAAAAATTTTCCTTAAAGTAAGTATATTTACTCCAAAATAAATTTCATCAGAACTTTCATCATTTAAAAACTAAAAGATAATCTGTTTTGTTATTTTAGGTGTATCAGTTAAAATATGCAATTTTCTTTTACACCTATTATGTGTTTTTTTCTATTAGTTGTTATTCTTAACCTGGCTTTGGAATGAGTTCGTATTATTTAGGTAAAACAATAAATAATATTGATGGTAAACTCACAGGAGCCCTTTCTCATAAATTAATTGATGTCGATGGTAAAATGGCAGGAGCAGTTTTAACATCAATACTATCATTAGAAATGGAAACTTCAGTATTCACTATTGCCCTATCAGTAATATTTGCAGCTAAAATATTTAAAGCAATAAAAATTATTTCACCCATGTTTCCCAGGGCTGTCCTGAGGGAGGCAAAAGGGTGTCTAGCCCCTGGTGATTTGTCATTCTTTGTTAGTTATTTTGGAAAGACAATCTGGTGATCAACTTTCTGGAGGAATATATTGGTTTCCTACTTATAATAAAAGTAAGTTTTAAATGTCTTTTCCAAAATACAATTTATTCTCAATGAAAAATTGCACAAACCGCAAAGGCTTTTTACCAAACCGTAATGCAAGTAAGAAAAAGAATCGATACAGGGAAAGAGTTTGATCCAAGGAGACCAACTTCTAAACGCAAGAAAACACCAAGAGCGGACAGTATAATCAGAAATATCTGCCTGTAAAACAGAAAAAAAGCCACTAAGCTTACCCATGAAGCTGTAATTGTTGTGTTAGACCGGACCATTTGTAGAAGGCTAAAAGAAGAGGGACTGATGTAACTCTGGGTTATTATGCATAATAACCCAGAGTTGACAAAAACTATAAAAAAATAAATTGCAAGCATGCCACAATGCAATAAAGCAGTTATTGCAAATAAAAGTGTTTTTGCAAAATATTTATACTTTATATATATTTTATATAATTTATCATAATAATCAATAAATATTCAAATTGTTCAACTTTATTTATTTATTTTTATCAAGTACAACTTTATAAATAAAAGAAAAAACTTTAAATTGCACTATTATTATTATTATTATATATATATATATATATATATATATATATATATATATATATATATATATATATATATATATATATATATATATATATATATATATATATAATATATTCATATAAGCATATGTATGTATATATATATACATATATATGTATGTTTATTTATGTACCTATATATGTATGTATATATAGAATAAAAAAAAGATTAAGTATGCGTTACAAATCAACCTTTGTACTTTAAGGTTGTTCTTTAGCTCAAGGAAATACAAAAGTAAGAGTAAACAGTTACAAAAAAAATTATAATCAGACATTTATATAGATTTATTTTGATTCTGATTAGAATTCGTCAAACTTTTAAAAATATATGCTACACAGATTTTTAACACAAGTTTAAAACAAACTATTATAAAAAGATTCAAAAGATTTTTTATTTAAAACTACTTTTAACAAACCTTTACATCACATTTATTTGTATTTGTCTTAATGGTTTTACCTCCAATTTTAGAAAGTTTGTTAACCTAAAGGTTTAAGAAAATAATTACACTACATTATTTTTAAAGTACATTTATAAAAAGTTACAAGTAGATTAACTTAGGCTAAGTTATTAATAAATACTTAATCAAAAAACAATAAAAAAAAACTGCAAAAAGTCATGGTTTGAAACAACTCATCACTTCTGACCTCAACCAAGAATCATTTAAACTGTTATAATAATCATTAAATTACTGCTGCAAGTTCATCCATAGAATTTCAGAACTATTTGTCATGATATTACTTTAATTACTGGAAAGAGTTTTTACTAACATCTCTTTCTAGCAATAAAGATATATCAGAAAGACAAAAGAACCAAACATTAATTAATTTCTAAAAGCGTTGAAACACAAGAACATAAAATTTATAAAATAAAACATTATTCATAAATTAAATAAAATGTATTAATTTAGCAACAAAAAAATTGTGTAAATCACTGAAGCATAGAAAAAAATGTTCAGAATCTTTTCTTCCTAAATCAACTTGCAGACAGACAATTAATACCTTGAGCTACAGTATGTGGAGTATGCATAAAAATTGTTTTCTGTTTCTTTTTTTTGCATTACAGGAGTAAATATTTGCTTACTATTCTGTTGGTTATTACGTTTTCTCTTGCATAAGCATGGTAGTGGCTCCTATAAAAATTAATATCAAAATATAACAAATAATACTTGAATAAAGTATCTTTTGAAATAGTTATCGTTTTCTAAACCTGATTCTATCTGAGTATCACTAGTAGAGGCAAATTCAAATTTATTACATAACTCATGATCTAAGAATATTCATTCAATTTAAAAATGTTTTAAATACATTATATAATAAAGAATATATAATAAAGAATATATCTAAACACTGAAAACAACATATACAGAATGAAAGCATGTTAAAAAAACAAGGAAAAAAAGTAATGACTTAAGGTTTATATAAAAAAAAATTACATTATCTCCATGACATTTAATTTTGAGCAGCGTAAATCTGTATTAGTTAGATGCGGTTTATGCATTTCATTGAAACAATTTATTACATTTAATGATGGCCGGCACAAAAAATTATCAATCGAATTTTCTCTCTTTATTTCTTTGTATTTTCTATCCAAACAGCTCGAATGAACATTTTGCATGCCCTACAATACTTTTTCAACTGGAAAAGTATAGTAGAAAATATAATAGAAAAAATACTTATATATTAAAAATTTGTTCATGTAAAATAGCTAACAGAAAAATACAACTTTAAACTGCACGTTATGATACATTATACAGTTGCTAAAATTTGCTAAATTTTTATGTTGATCCTTCTACCAACCAATATCATGGACTAAATGAGCATGCACAAATTCTTTTTTATACAACTTTACAAGAAAAATCTTTAAAAATTTAATAAAAATTTTTTAATATAAAAAAAATTCAAACTCTTTAAATCACATGGATTGGTAAAAAAGCTTGATAAATCATTATTTTGTAAAACATCATCCATTATATATATTTATATTATGTATGTATATATACATATAAAGTGTATGTATATATTATATATGCATATTATATATATGTATATATCTTATACTGCTGAGTTAGGTGAGCATGATGATGTCATACTCACCTAATGTCAAATAGCCTGCTGCCGGGGGCTTCAGTAAATACATCGACTGACAAATAGCCTAACTCGCCATGGAGTGCTGCTACATCGACTGAGGGTTTGGTATGGGTCAGCAACATTTTCATTCATTATTCTTCGTTTTCCCTCATCGTTTTCTAAAAATGCTTACTTAATTTAGGCTTGCAAAAAAAGTGAGCAATTGCGCATATAAATATGCTATAGTAGATATTATATATATATATATATATATATATATATATATATATATATATATATATATATATATATGTATACATATATATAATATGCATATATAATATATACATACACTATATATGTATATATACATACATAATATAAATATATATACTATATACATATATTATATATAGTGTGGATTACAAGTAGAGACTACTTGATATATTATATAAATATAAAATATATATTATATATGTTTTTCTTATTTATATAATATATATATATATATATATATATATATATATATATATATATATATATATATATATATATATATATATATATATATATATATTATATAAATAAGAAAAACATTTATAATATATATTTTATATTTATATAATATATCAAGTAGTCTCTACTTGTAATCCACACTCATGATATAATACGGTCATAAAGAAATATTCATTTAATATTTACCTAACTAACTGCGTCACAAGTTAAGCCATGTATTATTGTTAAATTGTCAAATTCAAAACCTTATAAAAAGGCAACAGATGACCTAATTTATTAGCATGTGTGACTTTACCTGTTTTTATTGGGCTAATAAGTAACTTGTTGAGTCTTTACTTGTTATTTGTTATGTTGATAAAAAAATTTTAAGTCACGCATGCGTATTTTAGTTCTCATATTGCAATTTCGAACGATCGAACTCGTAATATAGACGTTGAATTAACGTGGAATCAACGTCGATTTTATTTGATAGTTTTAAACAAATTTTTCAACGTTGATACAACGTTGATTTTTGGTTATACGACGTCGCGACTAAAAATCAACTGTAAATCAACGTCGAAATAACGTCGTGTGCCCACTGGGTTGCATTGTGTTCTGAATTCTTTGCTAAATTAAGAAAGCCTTCAGGCACAATCTTAATGCACAAAAATAATAAATGCAGAATCTTGTATAAAAAATGAAGCAATGTCAGTCTAAAGTAATATATACATTTATGTATATATATTTAAACTTTTTTTATTCTTTTTAATATTTTCTTTGAGATAATATTTATATAGATTCAGAGAAATATAAAACATTTTGATATATAGGCACATTTATGTATATAAACATACTTGTCAAAAACTACAGTCAGTTTTCCATGTTAAATACATAAATATAATATAAAATTAAACAAAACATTAAACTTACTCAAATCAGTAACAGTTCGACTGTCTAAGTATTTTTATTATTAACCCTTCTATTAAAAAAAAAGAAACAAATGATTTGAAGTGACTAAAAAGCACTTTAGCTCTTTCCAATTGCACTAAAAAATAAAATAAATCTTGCTTTGATAAGTTGCCTAGTTCTTAAGAATCTGAAAACAAATAAGTAAAAAACCAAGAACAAACAAACATTTATTTACAAAAACTACTCTATTTAAACAAATTAAATTAAATAGAAAACAACATTGATACTCCTTGAAAGCTGAAAAACTTTTCAGCTCAAACTTACTTGCAGACCTTGCTTTTAAAACCACTTGAATAAGAAAAGCACCAAAAAAGTCTAGAAGCTACTTAAAAATGGTATATGCAACATTGAACTTTAAATGTTGATTGGAGTAGATAATTTTAAAAAATTCAAAATAATTTGTTCTTCTATAGCAAATAAATACACCATAAATCTGAAGTTGAAAATGTAACAAATAAGTAAATACAAAGAAAAACATCATATATGAATTGAAAATCAATGTACCTGTAGAGATAAGCTGTTGTGATACCTGAGTAGTAATTGGTAAATTTTTTTTTTGTTTTTATGTTAAACAAATTGTATTTATAGAAAAATGATGTCTTGAATAAATTTTAGTAAATAAATAAAACAGTGAGTTCAAATAATGAAACTACCTATTAATCATTTTTAACAGCTGACACCAACGTAAAGATAAGCCAAAGGTAACAACATTATGCGAAAAATTATTAAAGATAATGCAATATGTTTTCAGAATAGTTATATTAAAGGCTAGGCAACACTTAGACCTAAAGCAGTAACATCGCTTGACTGGTAAGGTTGATAAATCTTGCTCTACACGTTTGCCAAGTCGCCCCACTTTGAAATCATGGACACACAATATAATATAAACATATATACTAATTATAAAACACAATATGTTTTTCTAATGTTACTTAGCATATAAAAACATCCCATTTAACAATCTTGCAAAAATTAGATATAATACGTTTCATACTATTATAAAAACACATTTATAAAACAACTATATAATATATAACCACATACACATATTTATCAAAAAAAATTTAACTTTGATCATAATATACATGCAAACATATATGCAAACTTTTAACAACTATAAAACAACATCTATTAGCATCAATTAATTTAAATGTAACAAAGAATGCAGGCTACAATGCACGACATTGTTAATAAAAAATGAAGTTATGTCAGTCAGTATATATTTATCTAAAGTAATGAAAAAGAATAAACCATTTAAAAAC